CGGATAGTATACCTACTCCACAGTTACAGCTTTGTCATGATGTGACCATGTAATCTGTTAAATCTTACATCGAAGTCACACTACTGCTCATACTGACTAGTTCTATCATGACAGTCAATGGTTGCTGCCATAGGCTCCTGAATAACGGAAGTATAACTCCCAGGGGAATAATTCAAACAAACGCTTCTATAATTTTGCTACGTTTAGTACGGTTTATTTGGTTAGAAGATGTTCTCGATCTCGTTATTGCTTAACTATGATAGGATTTAGTAAAACTATTAACACATGAAATATTATGAAAAATCCTTTTAATACTTAAAAATACCGACAGTTACGTGAAACTTGAACAGATAGCTGCGGACAATTTGTGTAACATTGGTACATCAGCTCAATGATCTGATGTGCAGAAAATCAGTTATTGGTATTTATACAGGTTGATCTTACATATAAGTTGACTGCAATGCCAACCCAGACCAGCCCTAGTTGGTGGTAACATCGTGGGTGGAGCATTCTTAAAATAAAGATGCATGACGTTCTCCCAAGATACATACAACACAAAACACGGAAAAATTCTCGCCTTTCTTAGCATGTTATGCATATAGAAGCAGGCCGGATTACTTACGACACAACACACGCAAAGAGACACAGTCATATTAGAACTGGTCACAAGTGTCAGAAGTCTCACAGAGACTATCGCCCAGATGCAAACAGGTGGCAGAAAACGAGGCAATTTACCACAATGACAAAGTGCAAGATCGAAGAGCAGGTCAAGACAGTTAAGAGAGCGTGGATAGTTCTGTCGTTACTACTAGAGGTTTGTCACCGAATCAGCATGGTGCAGTAAAACATGCGACTAGACTAACTAGAATCCCAAGAATGTGGGGAACGAATTACCTGTTCATAGGCCTCAACAAACTGAGGAGAGTCGTCTAAACAATCCCTTGTCTATATGCTAGCAATAAAAAAATCTGGTGTGAATTTTAAAGCGGACACGAGTGCCTCATTAGGCGAAATTCTTGTGACCAAAATTAAAATTTGAGCCAATTTTAAGCTGCCAATAAAACTACAATTCCTGAGTCTGGCAAATAGGCTTTGATACCAGGCTTGAGGTTAAAGAGATAATTCCGCAATGTTCTCTGTAACAGACTTAGATCCGACAATAATTGGGGTAAACGTTTTGGAGAGATGAGAATTTCTCAAGTGCTTACCACGTGACGTCGTTTGGCCATTAAGGAGACCTGGAATTACACAACAGACAAGAAGGCCGCCATTTCTCCAAATATCGTGCACAGTGCACTTCATATAAATAAAACTAAGGTTTCTCCCTGAAAATCGGCCTACGACGGACTTAAAATCGTTGAAGTCGACTTCAAATACATTGTGCAGTTGGATGACACTCATCAATCAGGTGACCACTGAGCATACCGTCTACACACATTTCCAAAGAAAAATAAGAGTGAACCACAATCATGTGGAGATCAAAAGACTAGAATTATTGTCTAGTTTGATATTAGTGCATTTATCTTTGCTCTTATACCAGTGAACCTAATCCCCAAACCTTAGATTTGTCATTATGTGAATATGTGATCCATTAGACTCTATGTGGAGGTCACATCATTTTCTGTTCTCACTCACCATATCGCGACAATCAGCAATATGATGTTCAGCAGTTCGGAAGACCGCATCTGGGCCGAGGATGAAATAATATATTTTCATGGGAATAGGGATAGGTCATACAGGATCGCCATCCTTGCAAGTCTGAGCCATGCCATACCGATCAGTTGTTCCTGCGTTCACCACTTTTGACCTTCTCTAAGTGTTACGTGTTGCATATAAATCTCAGTGACTGTATGCTCGGCTTCAAAGATCGTGTGGCTAGGAACCGACATCACTACAAGACCACCGATTGTCAAACTTTTCCAGATAGGTACCCAGTACCACACATTAGAAATTTCAGCCTAAAGCGTATGACTAAAATTGACTTAGAAAATATCACAAATATGCCAGTAGTTGAAGCAAATATTTCTAAGACAGCAACTACCACTCTTTTTGAACTATGTGCTTGTGGTGTTTGTATGAACTAATGATTCATTCGTACATAATGGATGCCTGATTTCGAATGCCAAACACAATACATTCGTCTTCACTCATCTAATACTTCCTGGTTAAATTGCGTTATTTCTGGGATTCCTAGTTCGTACAATAATTCAAATACTCCTAATTATCACATTGGCATCGCGATGGAGTCTGCGATGAAACGGTTTGACATACATTCAGATTTTGATGCTTTTGAGGATTATATGGAATTGTTCGAAATCTGGGCTATGACCAAGGATGATGTTGAGGGTGTTACCATTGTGGCTCATTCCGTTACATTCATCGGAAAAAAAGCATACAGCTTACTAAAAATTCTAGCTTTATCAGAAAAACCTATTTCGCTGTCTTATGCAACACGCAAGGAACTACTGTTAGACTGTGCGAAGTATACAAATTTCGAATGCTGTGAAGAAGAAAAACTTCAGAAAATAGTTCGTCAGGACATCAGGAATTCCACTAATTTACTAAGTCGTCTCAGTTCAGTGCGTAATCAAAGTGACTCAGATAACGATTCATCGAGAAGTTGTGAAACGGTAAATGCTTGTTCTGTGGCACGTTTCACTCATGTAATCTATGTGTATTTCGTAGTTTCAGATGCTTTAAATGTGGTGATATTGGGCACATTCAGTCAGCGTTTAATAATGCAGTTCATTTTGCGGCAACTAATGATAAAGTGTGTAATTCTGATCGTATTAAGTTGGGTGTTTCTAATGATCATCTAACTTTATCCACGACTTCAAAAAACAGTATAGACTCAAATATCAGTCCCAAATTGAATGAAACTCAGAGTGATTGTTAGACTAAAGCTTCTGTTCAATCAACTTATTGAGTTTTTCATGTTATTGTCCCAGATATGATTTATCTTAACGACCCACATATTTCTGACGAAATTTTTAAAAGCCTGAGGAAAATATGTTGAGTGAGTCAAATCATGATCGAAAACCTGATGCAGTTTTGACAGATGCTGATTTTTCTAATGGTCGATTATTCTTGAATGAAGTACGTCAGTCCGTTTTTGGCTGGCTAATGAAGAATCAGTAACTCGGTAGCACTTACCTTCTTACTACAAATTCTCCTACATGAATTATTGTACGTGTCCTCTGCACAGGATTCAGAGTTAATGACCGAATAGCTGATAAAAGAATGAAACAAAAATGGCCAAATAACTGATGCGAGCGAGCTAGCTAACGCAGTGTTCATGGGATGTGATTTTCTCATGCTATGTTTGGCTATCAGGTTATTACTCACTTGCCTCTTGAGCCATCCCCAAGTCAGAAGCAGAGAGGAATCTACTTTTTAAATAAGTAAATGAATCACACATGAAGAATCGCTCCACCGTTTTTATAAAGTAATTAGATACAAATAGGAAATTTGCAATTACAAGCAATAATTGTTCGACTCCACACATGTTTAACCTGCTAGAACGTTCTAGTAATCCGTAAGTAAAACAAGATGTCTAGACATTTCGGGTATGTATATGCGTTAAAACAAAACGTTGCTTGAAAGAAAATGTCAACGTGAGCCAGCCAAAAGTTGGATTTCTGAGATAACTCGATTGAATGCATGACCGTGAGTCTGTGATGACCACCCTTTGTGATTTGAATCATAACTACGGGCATGTCCACTAATCACAAGTGATCAAAACACGGAATGAAAAATAATGAAAATGCTGTGTTGAGTCCTTGGATCAAATAGGTTCCTAATACTTACTCGGAGTCTCACACAACAAACATTTGATTAGCTTGATGTGTACAAGGACGCTTTAGTAATGAGGTTATATTCCCTAAAGTCGCTTTGAAGCCGGGTTGGTCGGACACAGTCTATTGGTCATGTTTGTGACCCAACACCCAAGGTGACGATGGTTCAAGTGAGTATAGTGGAAGTACTTTTGTACACTGAGTGCGCACTGGAGTTCTAGTGAGAAGCCGTTAACAGCGGATTTTAACCAGGTCTGTTGTGAGATATCAACTCACTGAAGACAATAGTGTACGGTGGCGCAACTTCGTGGATTGGTTGAAGCTAGACAATAACACCGTTGGATGCCGGCTCAGTGGTCTAATGGTTAAGCGCTCGTGTGCGAGATTAATAGGTCCTGGGTTCGAATCTCGTGAGAGGCTGGATCGTGTATGCGCACTGCTGAGGAGTCCCATATTGGGAGGAAACGGCTGTCTAATGCTTCCAGGTTTTCCATGGTGGTCTAGCTTCAATTGACTCATGATTCCAGCTGAATTATTTTTTTGAAGAACTTAGGATCAGTGAACCACAGGCTCACCTGTATTGTTGGAAACACTCTGAACAGCTGCTAAAAAGCTAAGTTTAGCCTAGAGCGAATTAGAGGATATAATGGACCCCGGAATTATCCGGCCACCGAAAAGCTCATACACATCACCTTTTCACATGGTCTCCAAAACGGACAGCGATGACTGGCGTCCGATTTGTAATTATTGGAGACTTAATGTGAAAATCACTATCGATCGTTACCCCCTGCCACACATCCATGATCTGACAGCAACCTTGAAAGACACAAATTTTTTTCGAAAATTATTTGATTCAAGAGCATAATCCAATACCTGTGACTGTAAATGACATTTCTGAAACTGTTGTCATCTCTCCTTTCGAACCCTATGAATCTTCGCTCATGCCTTTCGGTTTAAAAAATGCTACACAAAATGAATAGTCCTTTAATTCTTTGACATTAATGGTGACCTCATTGGTTTTACTGGCCACACCATATCATAAAAGTTTCATTGTTTTTCCATAAGGTAAGTATCGCATACATCTTAGTCATCAATTAGAAGTGTGGCTGTTTCATTCATCATATCTTCAAGCTGAAATCCTCACAGGCCTGCTGTATTGCAATTTGAGACATTCAAAATTTTATATACGTTGTTTGAATCGTTGCTAAAGCAGACTTGGCAACAGAATTGATCGTATGGGTCCCTTTGTTTGGGATGGCGTTATGGATGGCTTTGGATGATAAGGAATGATAGGTGAGTCATTCTTCTCTCTATAAATGAATCCATTGTAATTATTTTAGTTTTTATAAGCTGAGTAGCCTGATTTGGTTACTTTGTGATGTAATGAAGATATAAACGTTCGTTGTTATTTTATTAAAGTTGATTAGTTATGATCAGTACAGATAACTTTCTTGATGAATCCAAAATGTATAAGAAGTCTTGAATTAGATTTGTTGTCTTTTAGCGTTAGGTTAATCAGTATTCTATCATGATCTCTGCGGTGAGTGTAAATCTTGTTTGGATTGTTCCATTTAGTTGTGATATATTTCCTAGTTAAAACAACACATGTTTCTATTTGTATTAGTTTCGGTCGTCTGGTCTGTATTTCCTACGTTGAGATAATGGTAATCCTTGATAATCCAAGGGGGTTTATTCAAAATGTCATGGTTGTTTATTAGTACTAATGTAACTTGTGTATACAAACATGATCTGCTGCATCATTATGTATGCAAAAAATTTCTATTGTTTCAGGTTTAGTGTCACATGTAAATCTGATGGATGCTCTTATCCATCCTCATCGTCAAATCAACAGCTTAAACTATTTTTCTATAAGTCGACCGAGTAGCTCGCTCAATGATTCTTCCGAGTCGGATGCAATAATTGAAGATACTCCAGACTCTCCAGTAGAAACCACCGACTACTCGAGCAAAGCCCCCGATATCGGTCAAACAGTGACAATAGATCACGACGGTTCTGAGATATCTGTGTGCGACACGCAGAGATTGAACAAACGAGTTTGTTTCTCATATCAAGAGTAAGGTTTATTTCTTCATATCGAGTTTTAGTAGTGAATCTGACCCTGACGAATATCCTTTTCATGCTGTAACTTACGGCGAATCGGAAGGCTGTTGGGGACTTCCTTATAACGTGAGTTTCTGCTGTTCACCTAACTTCGTTTCAGGATCACAATTATGCATCCTACGAACCAAATCCAGATCATAATAGATCTATTGAACCTGATGATCGTTTGTCTCTTTTAGCAAAGTTAGCATTAGCAAAGGATGAGAATCCACAGGATTCAGGAGAAAAGACGTCCAGGACACTCCAGTCTACACTGCGAACCAACTGTATTCTTGAAGAAGGTTCCACGGTCTCAACAACTAAGTCTGTGGGTTTGGTTGAACTAAACGCGTTGTGTTCATCAACTAAACGTTCTGTCGTGTGCAACTCAGAATTAAATTCCCCCAGTAACGGACAATCCCTGGTCACAACGACAAGTCACGTTTCTTCCTTGCCTAGTCGAACAATCTTGATCTCAACTACCGGTGGGAATGTAAATCCTCCCCTACAGATTCATCGAGTTAGTTCATCCCTCACACCACATGTTATCTTACGGACTGGTTTGCCTGGTCTTCAAATTTCTACAACTGCTTCACGTCAAGTTTCTACTGATAGTATGGATTCTGTTCGTTGCGTTTGTGGAAACACGAATTTGGATGGTTACCTCGTTCAGTGTAATCAGTGCAGGTAAAATATTTTCGGCATAAATATTAAAATCTAACCACTTTTTCAGAATTTGGCATCACAGTGAATGTATTTCATCTGCTGGTAAAAACCACTTGTCAACACCATATGTTTGCGAAATGTGCCAGACACAGTCAAAAGCTGTTGCTACTCAGCGACCTCATTTGACTGCATTTAACAGTGTTGGATCAACCACAACTCCTAACATCCGGATTTCTCGTGCTCCTATAGGGACAAATACATCTTCAGGACGTGTTTTCTTAACAAATACGCTCGGAGGTGTGACTCATCGACAAGTTCACGTTTGCATCCCAGCAAGCCAAGGGATGTCTGGTGTTCAGTGTGGTGAGTTCAGTCTAGTTTCTAGTGTGATTTCAGAAAATGGCTCTGCTGTAGCTCGCCCTCCAAACTATGGTCCATGTGGACGATCTGTAAGAAGCTCTAAAAGAAAACAAGATCTGCTAACACGTAAGAATACATTCTATTTGTACTGTTTATTAGTTTAACGATAATGTTAGTAAAGTAGGTGTTCATATGATTCTAATGTCTAATTCTCAGTATTTTCCAAAATTCAACCGTGCAATCAATTTACAAGGCGTAATATCCCTTAGTGTTCTTTTGGTTAGCAGAATGATGAAATTTCATGGATACATCTGACCTCCTTTGCTGCTCCATGAGCTCCTTGAATAAATACCTTTGTATTAGATTTGAGTCCCAACTTCACGAAAATACTTTTGAAGACTGCTGTCGAGAAACTTTGGATTGTCACGAGATCTTTAAAAGTAGGAGCGCTTTGTTGTTCATATAATACTGCAGTAAAAAGGCAAACGACTGAGTCGCTAGGTATAAAGCTCGCCTCCGTGGAGCAGTCGGGTAGTGGGATGGTGAGTCATCAGTTAGGGTGTTTGACTTCCGGTCACTAGGTCTCAGGTTCGAAATTCAACTACTTCAGTTTGGAAACCAAGTAGTACAAATAACCTTCACACTTAGAGTGTGACTTGAGGCTAACCACGTGGATCTGTACTTGGTAAATGTGTTAATAATATTGAGTTTATCAGTCACTGGAAAAGCCTAGAATGGGTTGGCTAAGGTTGGTAATCTAGTCGAATTATCCAAAATTCCTCTGATGACCTTTTGAACACTACATATTTATTTTTTTCCCTTGACAGTGCATGTACTGCTTTTTAGTTTATTGTGAATTTTCATCTTTATTGTTTTTTCTGTGTTGCTAAACAGTGTAGTAACTTAAATAGGTGGTAAACCTCGCGTTTTCATTTCTGAAAGCAAAACTTGTTTATGAACTAATCCTAAATACAAAACGGACACCTGTTATCGAATGATTTGCACAACTTATCACTTTTATTGGGTGGTGATAAAATTGATTAGCATATCTTGTAATGTAGGAGGTTCTCAGCTTGGATGTTTTTGGATACTCTGAGTTGGTTTAATTACAGAGCTCTCATTATCGTTCTGCACATCGTCGGTGCTTGCTTCTGTCATACTTCTACGTAAACCCTGGTAATGTCCAAGACGTCAACGAAGAGTCCGCAATTAGACTAACAAGCTCAAAGAACCCAGCAGTACCAAAAGTAATGTATCTCCTAGATAGCTGTGTGGAGCTACCATTGCAACTTAAGAAGCGTTGGTAATCATTTGCCTCGAAACATAACTTGTATGCAAGAAAACGTGAGACCTTTATATAGTGAAATTCAGTGTGCTTGATAAAAAGTGCATTTGTCAAAATAAAAATTTTGCTTCTACTATGATTAAAAGCAATCTGTTTCCTACCAAAAGTTTATCTTTTAGAGAATTTCGTTGCTTTTAAAAGAAACTAAGATGTCATAAACCTTGGAATATAGTAAGATAATTCATCTTTCAGTCAACCAATTGTAAGCAACGTGAAACCTGGTATATGTGCATCGGTTAGGGTTACCACATCACATCAATACTGAAAAGTTATCAGAGGTAATGCTATGGGAGTAGTGTCAGTGGTAGCAGGGAAAATTCGTCAAATGAAACATGATTCGGGAATGAAAGATGGATTCGCAGTTGAAAGTTGCAAGCTATTGATATGCAACATGGAAGTAAACATGTGTTCTCAAAACTCAACAATGTAAACGAAAACTTGTCTTAGTTACTGAATTAGCTTTTTATAGGTAAAATATCTCTAAAAATGGCTTTAGCTATCTTCTTATTTCGTTTTCTCTTCCTCCAAATCCTGAGCTTATCTATTATTTCAGACTTTATTCTTGAGATTTATACTTTTGAAGAGTTCCCCAGTATTTAATCTTTTTAACTATCATTGATACTACTATTTTTATATTTTGGCTATTTGCCTTGTTATTTTTTATCTTCCTGTGCCGATTTGGTAAGGACGTTTGGGCTGGAGGACATTTGTGACTGTGTTGATTATAACTGATTGAGGGACCTTATTTTCTACCCATATTTTCTTAAAATTATGTTGTAATTGTGCCACATCCTACGAATGTTGGTTCACTACTCACCATAGACTATATTCAAATTTTCTGTGGAGGTTGGATCTTGCAGTTTTATTTAGTTGAATGGTGACAACCAATATCTGAGTCTTCGTTCACACATCAGCTTCAGATATTATATTCATTCCCAGCCTCATGATTTTCAAATTTTTCAATGAAGTGGTTGACATAGCACCATAATATGTATTTGTAATTTTGTATGAAGTTACTGTTTCAATGCTTATTATCGAAACTTGTTTTCTCTATCATATGGTTTTTCGGATTTTTTCTTGTAGTCACTGGTGGATCATCCTCTGCAAACGCAGGCATTGAGGGCTTTCCAAGCTCACCTCCGGTGTTGGATGACTATGATGACTTGTCAAACATGCGGACATCTTATAACACTGATTTAAAGAGCTGCTTCGTGGAGGGTCCATTAAACGTATGTCAAACACAAGGAAGTAATCCAATCCCTGTGTCCGATAAAGTGCAAATTCGTCATAGCAGCATTGTACATCGTTTAATTACAGATTGCCCAAATAATAAGGTACAAAATACATTTACCCAGATGAATGAAGTGTGCCATACCATCCCTCCTTGTCCAGCACCTGACTCTGTACTATCTCCTCCATCAGATATTTATGAAGAAGCCCAAACTCTACATCTTTCAAGTCGTGTTTGTAAAAAACTCAGTTTATTGTTTCCTCTGTTTACTGGCATGGGAGCAGATTGTGGCGAAATAGATGGCATTTTTAACGAAGAAATTCCCTCTAATCTCGAGCGTTTGTTCCGTTATCAGGTTGTTAGTTTCGACTTTAACCGCAGGGTGAGATATTTCGTGTAAATCTGTTACCTAAAATTTGTCAATTAAGATGAATCTTTCAGTATTTGTAATACCTGAGTTCAAATTCAAATCCATTTTTCAGGGCCTAATAGCAAATGAAGACATTTGTCCTCGTACGCCGATTATTGAGTACCGTGGTAATTGTTTGTTACTCAGTGAATACAACGATATGTACGACTATCGTAAACAGTAAGTAACTGTTTTTTAGTTATTTTCTTTTAGTTACAATCCGTTTGTACTGTTTTACAAATCCTTGCCGAAGTTACCTCTCTGTGTTGATGCTCGCAAGTATGGCAATGAAGCGCGCTTTATCCGTCGGTCATGTACGCCTAACTCTGAGGTAATTTGTTTTATTGATAAAGTTGTGCTTTACTCTAGTTCTGATTAAAATTCTAATTATCCAGTTATAGAGTCCATAATTTATGTCCTAAAGAAACTAATAAGATTCCTTTTCATAAAAACACCGAAAATTAGTCATTTTCGCACAGGGTATCTAAAAAGTCAAGGTTATGTAACAAAAGTTCGGCGCCATCTAAGAACGAGCCTACACACCAATTTAGTGACTGATTCATTCTAAAGATTCAATTAATAGTTTCTACGAACCACTTAGGAAAGAACAACAGTATTCCAAGAACGTTTACTACTCACTAGTAAAATGGTTGGGTCATGAAATCAATCCATAAAGACATCATCAGCTTACCCTTGGCTCATTAGTGGATAAAAATTTTCTGACCTAGATCCTTGGTATAGTCATACTCGCTACTCCTCACTTTTGGTTTTCTATTTTATTTTGGTTATCCCTCATATTTTCATTTTGGTAGTATTATCCTTCCCTGTGTTGACGTAAGTGTTGGCAACTTAGAAAAGTACGGATTCGTATCAGTTCTCACGTTGTCCATGACTGACTTATACTTCCTATACTACTGCTATTTCAGGTATTTCAAATTCCTACATAGTACGAATAATAGCTGTCCATTTTTCGTATGCTATCACTCGTCCTCAAATGACTTTAAAACGGATTTTTCATTTTCCTTTTAGGTCCGCCACTGCATTTCCTTTTCAAATGATCAACATAATGAACCCGTCCCTCATCTTCGTCTCGTCGTTGTTGCATCACGGGTTATTCCAAAGTCATCCGAGATAACTCTACCTTTTGATTTTGACTATACAGCCTGTCGATATCTTGTTAAGTGTGCATGTATTCTTAAAGGCTGTCCGATTACCCGTTGGTTCCAAAGAATGAATCAGTTGAGCAACCCTTTGAGAAGTTCGACTCGCCATTCGTTGGTGTGCACTCGCAAATTACCACATTCACCCCGCTTATATGGGGTCAACGGTCATTCTCGAGGTTTTAGTCTGTTGCAAAACTCCCAGTCCCATTACGATGACAAGGATCCTTCCGATGAACAGTCAGTTTTGTGTCCTAAATCTCCCATAAATACCACTGTGAGGAACTTCTCCATTAGTCGGACAGGCCGTTACCTTCCAAGTCCTATTTCGAATGAGTAAGAATATTTTATACCTTTAAGTTCATCGTGACTTTCATGTCCTTTGTTTTCGTGACAAGGAGTTAAATTTCTTCAGTCTACATGTGATAAGCCTTGCTAATTGAACTCTAGATTTGGTTCCTAAGCTCTTCTAGTAACTCCCAGGCTAGATATACATAGTGACTTGAACACGGGAGAAAAGGAGCGAAATATATAAGAAGACGCTTTACTCCAAAAGTTCGTTTATGTACAGAAAATCTAGGGTTTTTATAGTATTTTAGATGTCTTTGGGTTTCCGAAAAGTTCTGGAATGCTACTAAACATAGCGGTGGCATAAGTAATCACCCAATCAGAAACTAGACATGTGACATTTCACTTTCTAAATGTTTCTGGCAAAACTTCTAGTAAACGCTGATTGAATAAGATGCTTCTCACTGTTTTCAGAGCCTTTCTTGGCTCTTTTTTGAGTTTTCTGAATCTTCCCAACAATGGTTTCATTTTCAGTAAATTATCTCATATTTGTTCATACTTGAAAGTTAATGTTGAGTTGTTTCTAGAGGCTAAAAATTGTTCATAATTTTAAATGTTTCAGACTAACTGACATGCTAAAATTAAGTTTCAGAAGTCCCAAAAGAAATACGGAGCAAGTTTGTGCTTATTTCTAGACATTATTTATAGATAAAATATAAAAAGTATATCCTTTATCTAAAAGTACCAAAATTTATAGTTAGTGATTTTGAGTAATAAGAATGCGAAGTGAATTATCTGGGTACTCTTAGTGTGTTCAAAGGCCAGATGATACTTACTTACTTACTTACTTACTTACTTACTTACTTACTTACTTACTTACTTACTTACTTACTTACTTACTTACTTACTTACTTACTTACTTACTTACTTACTTACTTACTTACTTACTTACTTACTTACTTACTTACTTACTTACTTACTTACTTACTTACTTACTTACTTACTTACTTACTTACTTACTTACTTACTTACTTACTTACTTACTTACTTACTTACTTACTTACTTACTTACTTACTTACTTACTTACTTACTTACTTACTTACTTACTTACTTACTTACTTACTTACTTACTTACTTACTTACTTACTTACTTACTTACTTACTTACTTACTTACTTACTTACTTACTTACTTACTTACTTACTTACTTACTTACTTACTTACTTACTTACTTACTTACTTACTTACTTACTTACTTACTTACTTACTTACTTACTTACTTACTTACTTACTTACTTACTTACTTACTTACTTACTTACTTACTTACTTACTTACTTACTTACTTACTTACTTACTTACTTACTTACTTACTTACTTACTTACTTACTTACTTACTTACTTACTTACTTACTTACTTACTGGTCGATACAAGAGTTCTTTGAAGTGTTCTACTCACCTGTTTCGTTGTTCTTCAATATTGGTGATTACCTCGCCTTCCTTGCTTTTCGCTGGTCGCTCCGGTTTACGGTGATCTCCAGACAGTTTCTTTGTCGTGTCATACAGTTGTCTCTTGTTTCCTTCTCTTGCAGCCTTTTCCGCCGTCGTTGCTAAATCTTCCACATATTTACGTTTGTCGATTCTGATGCTCCTCTTCACTTGTTTGTTTACTTCTGTGTATTCAGCTTGTGCCTTGGCTTTTTCTGCTCTTGTTCGACTGGTATTGATTGCTGTCTTCTTGTTCCTCCTTTCTTGAATCTTATCCAGTGTATCAACAGTGATCCATTCCTTGTGATGGTGCTTCTTGTGGCCCAGGACCTCATGACATGTTGAAGTGATTGCCTCTTTGATCCCCTTCCAGTTGCTCTCCACAGTAGTTCCTTCTCCGTTGAGTAGATCATAAAAGGCCTGTAACTTATTGCTGAGGACTCTCTCGAGTTTGTTGAGTTTGTTAGTGTCCTGAAGAAAGGCCGTATTGAACTTTTGTGATATTGTCCGCCCCATTGTCCAGTGCTTCTTGAATTTCAATTTCATCTTGGCGACCAGCAAGTGATGATCTGATGCTATATCAGCTCCTCTCTTGGTTCTCACGTCCTCTATAGTCCTCCTGAACGTTTTGTTGATGCAGATATGGTCGATTTGGTTTTGTGTGGTGTGATCCGGTGAAGTCCATGTGGCTTTGTGAATGCGCTTATGTGGGAATATGGTGCCGCCTATGACCAGTTTATTGAAGGCACATAGGTTTGCGAATCTCTCACCATTTTCGTTCCTTTCTCCCAGTCCATGTCGTCCCATGATGTCTTCATATCCGGTGTTGTCCACTCCAACCTTGGCATTGAAATCTCCCATCAGAATAGTCAGGTCCTTTGTTGGGCACTTCTCGACGATTGACTGCAGCCTATTGTAGAATTGATCTTTAGCGTCTTCATTGTAGTCGTTGATAGGCGCATAGCGTTGGATGACGTTCATTGTAATGCTTTGTTTGTTTTGAAGGAGGCTTTGATGATCCTTGGTCCATGAGATTCCCATCTTGTAAGTGCATTTTATGCCTATTTGGACAGCATCAATACAACTCCTTGTGTATGTGGGGCATTGTCTTCCTCATGGCCGAAGTATAGCAGAAGCTCCCCTGAAGCTAGTCGTTGTTGTCCGACTTGCGTCCAATGTGTTTCACTGAACCCAAGCACCTCCAGCTTGTATCTCCTCATTTCTTCAGCAATTTGGAAGAAACTCTCAGTCTCCCACGTTGTAAGAGTATTCCATGTACCTAAATAAATGGTTGCTCTGGTTGTCAGAAGGGGCATCGACCTCGTGACTTCCGAAGGAAATCGGCTTTCATCATGAGGCGTCATAGTTCTTCTAAATGAAGACCTGACTCCCAAGGCAGAGTTTAAAAGGTTTGAATAATTTTTTCTGGTTAGCGTTTTTAGCGAGTTAGTTTTCTACGGGATGGGGTCGCTAACTCCACGCCCAACCCTCCTCCTTTATCCGGGTTTGGGACCGGCAGTAGCCCCCGGAGGGACTCTAAGCACAGCTAAAGGCCAGATGTGGGGTCTGTTATTATATATTACAGATTCAGAAGTCCTTGGCTTTTGAAAGTTTGGGTCGCGTGTTGCGTAGGTAAGATATTCGTCCATCAACGAAGGGTAGAACAATATTCAACATTTTACTCTTTTGCTTTTTGTCCGTAATACCTGGTCGTTACAAGTAGAAAACATGTCTAGGTCACTAATGTTTGGTCATAAGTGCTTTCGGAACATTCCCTGTATGTTCTGGGATCACTGGGTAAATAATGTTTATATTTGACTTAGGGTCATAGGCGATAATGCTAGAGCGGTTGACAAGATTATGGATCTTCATCGATTTAGTTAGTTAAAACATTTCTTGTTCACACCCACCCACCTCTGGGACTTATGTTGGCTGAAAAAGCGAGTTAGAAGAAAGCTTGGAGCCTCCAAATCGAAACGTAGCATCAGTCTATGAAGTCCATGACTGTCGAATTCAGCGATGTGGATAGGTACATACTATTTGGTTGGAATGCATATGATTATTGTGATTGATAGTTCAAGACGTTGGGTGACATGTACCAGAAGTGGTCTTAATGGTGCAGGTTCATTTACTCTGTCTTTCCCTGGATCCTGAGTTTCGAAGCTATATCGTAGGATTCATCCTACGAATTCATTCATTCTTCTTGAATCATGTTCTCGATGCCTAGTTTTTCTTGTTATCGTTATTACTACCACTTTAGTATTTATTTTGATTATTTTATCTCTCTATAGTGATGTAGTGTGGTAGCTTCGGTCGATACATGTGTCAGGTTCTACATCACTTATGACTGATTGAAAATTACTGTATGGTTAAATAGCCTATACATTCAACCTAGTGTTGCGGTATCAAATCCTATCTCACCTTTTATGTGTTCAGTAACCACTTAGAATCATTTGTCTAATGAAGTGTACAACTACAAAGTGGTTATGTCTGGGTCTCCAAATTCATTCGCAAACATCTTGTTCGTCTTTGTAAATTGTGGTTCTTGACTAAAGACTTTTCGACAGCAAAAATATAAGTTCTAGTCTTCCGGTCTGAAGTTTACTAAAAAAAACCTTTTGATCCTGTCATAAATTCCGGAAAACTAATTTTGCATTTCTCTACAAATTATTTATTAATTCTACCTGTTTTTCATTTCATTATAAGCAAATAAAAATTTCTCAAGTTCATTTCCAGAATTGTCAAAGGGCACCTGTTTAGTATAACTTCATCTGATGTATTACGTTCATAAACATTTCACGAGTGAGTAGAATACAAAGTTATTGCACCTAAATTTAGTGTAGTAGATGTAGAGTTTAGCCAATGTTTCCAAAAAATGTCTTACACGAAAATTAAAAAATTATCAATCACTCGTTTACAAATTGGATTTTCTCCATTCCTATGGTAACAATGTTTCTGCAAGCTCTCGACATAATTTGCATAAATTACAACAAGGACCAGTTTAAACTAGTATGTTTGGTAAAACAATTAGATTAAAATTCTGACATTACTTTACAACCATGTAAAGTTTTAAAATGTTAGATTTTTTGTATTTAATTTATTTCGTTTATTAATCATTCTTCATGGGTGTTGTGTATTACATTTATTCATCGTTGTAACGATTTACGGCTGTTGTGTATTTGTCCTTTTAAAGCGTCTTCAAAGTAGTATTTTACGCAACCACGTGGTTCCAAGCTTATGACATATTATGTGGTTTCTTGCCGATGTTTATTTTTGTTCAAAACTGGTGTCCAGCCTTTCTAACTTTCTTTTGTAGGCGAACTTCAGGATCACATCAAGCAGGATCTAACCGAACCACTCGTGGTTACTTAAATAAATCAAGCATTTCATGTGGAGTTCGTAAAGCTGTTCATCGGAGAGGTCGTGGACGGGGGCGATTAAGAAGTTCTAGTTCTCTTGGAGTGCGTAGCAAACGTGAAACAGAGCGACTGTCTTCCAGAATGGTGTACCTTAGGAAGTCCCATTCTAAATCCTTGTCAACTGCCAGAAAACGTCGTTCACAACGTAATTCCTGTTCTCACAGTGGTCAACATCCAGTGTCATCACCTAGTGATAGTATTGTAAATGTAGACAAGAAAAGAGATTCGCATAACATTCCTAGTAGAAGTGGTTTCTCTTGCGAAATAGAATGTTTAGATAGATTACGATCGGTTCCTGTTAAAGCAAGTGACTCTCCACAAAAGTCATCCAACATAGAAAATCAAGGAGAAGTCACTGATAACACGGATATCGGCTGTAAGTCGAATAATGAGTTATTGGGAGAGGACTTAGATGCTGACACTGAACCGGAATATGAAGTACAACCAGAAAAGTTAACAGATAGATCAGTATGTCGAAAATATATACAGTCTAACTCCCGTCAGGACCGTCTTAATTCTAAAGGAACAAAAGAGTCTTATACCTCAAATAATTCTCCTAGATCACCTGATCTGGACCATGTAAAAGCTGAAATACACGAAAGTCATATTTTTAAGCGCAAATCTGTAAGTGCTTTTCCTAAACAACATTTTTTAAAATTATTCCTTTTTTAGTTGATTATTACTATTCACCCAGGTTTATTGCTGTTATTATATGCACAGAACTTTAACATGATTTCGAGTTTATTAAATATCGCTTGTAATCAAGGTTCATAAAATCTGGATACCGTCTTCGTAAACAGACAGTTTTTAGACTGAAAATCGGGATAGTCATCACATCCTTTTGGTTTTGAACATTATTCTCATTATTGTAAATACGAAATGCAATTAATTTCTGTGTAAACTGGATTATTTTATAAAACTGACCATAATCGGTCATTAACTGTAATATAATCCAAGATGTGGGGACACTTATTAAAAGGTCTCACAAACGCAGATAGTACATCAGACCAGACCACGCATACTAAACACTAAATTGGAATCCAAACATTATTTATCAGCGTAACCAAAAATCACTCATACAGTCGTCAGGCTGCGGTGGTTAAATATTGGTAACACATGTTAACCATTTCGTTTTATGGAACCCAGAAACTAATTAATCTTATTTCGTATATTTAGGGAAGGTGTCTATCGTTTCATAGTAGAATTGTTTTCATAAAACTTGTTTATCTGCCCTCGTAGGGTTGAAATTGAAGTCAACATATGATCCAGGTCCAGATATACTCATTTAATTTTCAGTTATTTCAGTGGCACCACATATATCTTTCGTGATAAGGTACTATAACCTAGAGAGTATTCCGCTTTTATATTCACCTCATCTTTACTTAACGTCCACAATCACTGATTTTTCGTAGTAAGAAATATTGGTTGATGATTATATATCGTAACTATTTTATGAATTTCACGTAACTGATGAAAAAGAGTCTAGTTAATGTACTCATTTTCCAATAACCAGTCTTGGATTCTCCAGGGAGTGGTATCCTTGACGTTTCACCGAGCACTTCGTCTCCAAGTACCCTTATTAATTAATTTATTGTGGGATGTCAATTGGTTAAAACTTTATCTTTTGCCTCAGGCTGATTCATCATCACTTGTTGACCGTGGAAAACGGCGTTCACAGATGAGCACCTTCGATGATCATGTTTCTAAATCGCGCAAAAGAAGTACTTCACTTGAAGAAAAAGAAGACAAGGTTAGTCGTTGTGGTTCAACTTTTTCTGTTTATTTCGTCATCGAAAATTAAATCATCTTCATTGTAGCTAACTTAACTGTTTCTACTATACTACATTATAGCCTGGTCATGACATATGTATTCTCTAACTTGACTTATAGAAACACGAGATTCTCAAAGGTTGTTCTCAACAATCCTGAATCTAGTCGGAAGTTTATATTTACTCACTAAACCTGTCACTTCACGCTGATGCCTATTGGTCTGTACACGATTCTACGCAAGCTCCTGTATGAAAAGTAATAATTCATATTTTGAGTGTCAATATCAGAGGCTATTGAGTACCATAATGGACTCTCTTGATCTATTGACCTTAGAACCTTACTACGGGATAGCGTGTAAAATAGATACCACTTGTATTCTAATGATAATCTTAGTTAATATATGATTACATTTCATATAAAGCCTGTACTCATTAGATTAGAGTCTTCGCTTTCTAAATAAAGGTAAACAGAATGCTATTCAGTTCAGTTTAGTGATTTGTATCCACGTTATCACCTTCAAAATATCTGTTCTTATCAGTCAGTCAGCTACAATGTAGGACCAGGCACATATATGCATCATTCGAGACTTCCATACCTCATCAGCACAACAAGAAAAACATCAAATTCATAGGAGCAGTTACTTCATTAGTAGTAAAAGAAAATTTCATAAAAGGATATGGTACAGGAAGAAAGAATTAGTTTATAGAAAGAAAGAAATAAATTAACTTTGATCTCACAGTTTAAAATCAAAGAGTGTATACACTGACGCCATTGTGATAGACTCTGTGCCATAACACCCAGTCTCCAACCATTGTCAACCATAATCACGCGGACCCCAAACAAGTCGTCTGCATCTACCAACATACCTCAGAGCAAAAGTTAGTGACTTCAAGGACTGATGCCACTTTTTATATTGGCTGCCACTAACTTTCCTCCAACCATCACCAACATCGGTTAGCATTGCACGTCGTGGTAATCAGTGTTCAGGCATACGTAACACGGTCCAACTATCTCAGCCGATGAAGATTCACAACCTCATCAACTGATTTACCATCATTTCCTAATTCCCTGTGTCTAACATCACTTTTACTTACCCGGTGATCCCAGCAGATGCGAGCAACATTTCTAAGGCATCTGTGGTCAAATGCTAGTAGCTTACTAGTATCTTCTACTCTTAATGGTCACGTTTCGCATCTCTAAAGTTGAAAAGAGTGAACTACCGCGCAGTATGCTCGTCTATTAATTGATAGATGAGTATCTCCCATTCGCCATAGGTGACGTAAGTTGGCAAAAGCCAAACGAGTTTTCTGAATCCGTGAAGAGATTTCGTCAGACACCAACTCATTAGGGATGATCAGACTTCCAAAATAAGTGAAGTTGTCAACGCGCTCGACAATTTTGAAAAGGAATCTTTTTATGTGATTTCGTGTACTTTCATAAGAATATTACAACAGGCAAACAATTGAAATTACTTTCTGAATGATAAATTAAGTATGCTAATTGACTTTATTTGGTATCCGTAAAATGGAATAGTTATTACCAAAACGGGAATTTATTGCACGATCATTATGATTCGGTTTTCAGATTGTATCAGATGTTATTACTTATACTATTTTTATAACTGTTGATGTTTTCAGATTCATCATATATATTCATTTGTTAAAGTTGCTGTCTAAAAGTATAAAATCATGTATCTTATTATTTAGAAATCAAAGGAAGATATATGGATGGCTGAAGTATTACGTCGCATAGAGCGTATGGAAAAAAAACGATTAAAGCAACGCGTGTCTTCGATCAGTTTGAAAAATAGTCAAAACACTGATTACACTAGAAATGACTCAAACCAGTTTTCTCCCCCTGAAAAATCACCTGAACCTGACTCAGTATCGGACAATAACGATGTTAAGTCAACAGATGGTGTAATGGAGACTGGAGGAAGTTCTGATATTAACTCAAATGCATTACAATGTGATAAAGATATTAAAAATGTTATCACCGATGAGACCCACTCTGATCATGTAGAACCTACAAACATTTTTGAAAAGCCTGAGCTGTTTAATTGTGAATCAAATCAATGTTCTGGTTTATCGCAAAATAAAAGTATATCTCCATCCAAGGCTTGTAATCAAGATATTTCAGAAGAAAGCGATACATGTTTTCAAAGAAAGCAGTTAAAACAATTCACTGGGTCCAAGTTTAAGTACCAAAAACGCTGTTCTGTCAGTCACAAACAGAGACGCCGTCGTTCCCAAGCAGCTATGTTATCTGATAGCCTGTCATCCGTTGATCAAGGTGGTTCACGCGAAGACCGTTGGCTTCAAATGCAACTTCGACGTATCGCTGAATTAAATGATCATCAGGAAGTATCACAACTCACTTCATCAGACATGGAGAATATGTCTGATAAAAGTCATATGTCATCGGGTAATCATATTAAAGATGGATCAAATATGAGAATTACACTTTTTGAAGCTTTGGGTGTTAAAAGTGAATCATCAAAAAATGATCGTAACCCAAATAGTTGTCTTCAGCATTTATCACCCAGTTTGTCTAAATTCAGTATCGCCTCTGGTTGTGATACGACAGTTTTTACGAGTGCTAATGAATCATCTAATCAGATCAATAGTAATCAACAAGCTCTCGATTCTGAAGCTGATTGTGGTTTTATAGTTTATAGAACTCGAGAAAAAGATCCAATGGCTAAATTTAGCAGGACTCGTTCACTTGATATGCATTCCTTGTTTTCAACAATTCATGATGAAATATCTGGGAAACAGTAACCGACACTCGACAAGATGTTTATACATCTGTTGACGATATGTCAACATCTTGTTTGACACAACCATTTCTGCACCAAACTCCTAGACCTACAAAGAAACGGTGGTTATCTCGGGTATGTTAATCTAAAATTTCAAGGGAATTTTCAGTGTACAAGTGTTATTGCCAAATTTCGAATGTCTTGAAAATAAAGTCACGCTTAGTAATTTAGTCAACCTTTTTATCCTTAGTTGTAACATTCTTTTAAGTTTTAGGTGAGGGAATAAATGTAATGTGATCACCATTGAGTTTCAGTTTGTTTAAAAAAAGCTGGAACGATCTTGATCTCGGTTTTGACTTTCTTTAATGTTAGATTTCTCTATTTTTTAAATAGTAATATTCTGTCCAAGTCATCATTTCAACATTCGTATTATTAACCTTGCCGAATGCCAGCTTGGCTTTCTTTCAAATGAAAGAAGAGGTTTGAAAATATGAAGGCTAAAATTAACACCTATTGGCTTTGTGAATTTTCTCTGTGGATGTTAACATCTAAAAATGTAAATTTCACACTACGGACTGGAAAAGTGTTTGTTAGGAATTGTGTGCGACTGCAATCAGGCAGTTGTTCCTTAGGCTTCTCACTTAAACATTCTAGGAGTGTCGATCATCCACACTTTCAGTAATATCGGAGTTCATCATTATCCTGTGGTCAAATCATTAGCTTCCTCTTCTGCATAAATAATGTGTACCAAAATTCTGAGGATACTTATTGTCTATGGTATGTTGTTTTAAATCAGATTTTATTAATTAAAACTTCGTTTTGTTCTGTTGTGATGAATTAACCATTCGCATGAAGTCTTTCATCGACATGTAGTACACAGACTACACGTTTGTGTGGTAAAGGCACTAAAAAAACCCCCTGTTTTATAAACATCTTGAGCGATAATGTGTTATATTAGTCAGTGTGCTAGTGACTGAAGAGACTCGACGTGTATACGAAAAGTCCATTTGGCTGCAACTATACTTGGGGTTTAATATCTTATAATCTATAATCCGCTTAAATCTTAGTAAACGGAGCTGATCTCAAACACAATCTAATTGATGGAAACTGAATACCAGAAGCACTGAGCAACAGCTTCATTAGTGGAAAAAACATGAGCTAATAGAGAATAAGTGTTTTGTTTTGGAAAATACCTTCTTATCGAATCACGTCTTCGATTTATTTTCTACGGTTTTGATTATACCGTTTTAGGCTCTAATGGAGGAAGATGTCGAATTTTCTAACAATAATTTTTCAAACTGTTCCCACTCAATTAATCATTCACTATCCACTAAATCAGATTCCTCTTTAGTCATGCAAAATTCATGTGCTACGCCAGTTAATCCGAAAAGAGGATTATCTCCCGACTTTCCGGGATCTCTGAAGACTTACCTATTTGTACGTATTTCGAAAGCGATGATAATCTCAAAAAAGAAAGTGTCACAATTTTGTCTGATCGTTTAGCGAACAATCCAGATGATGAACAGGTGGTTTGCAATCCAGAATCTAAAGTTATTTCAGAGTCACAAGAAGATCCTGAGTTTTGCGATGGTCTATCAACTCATCTGGCTCCTGTAAGTTTCTTTTTTGAAGCTCGTTGCGTAGAATAAGGAAAATTGTTACACCAATTATTTTTCAAAATTTTATTTGAACACATAAATATTGGTACAAAGGGACACCGAATACATATGCGCCACACAAGTCACTTGTTTTGTGTGTGGGATGTGATACTGTCCGGATGCCCAGACCGAATCAGGTGCTTTCCTTAGGGGGCCACGCCTGGAGCCTTCGACCTAAAGTTCTGATCCACAAGGCAGTGGAGCAACGTCAGGAGATGCAGTTCCATGGTAGTCGGTGACCAATAATTGGTTAATACGCCATTTGTTCCTTCATGATACTGGAGCCTATGTGCACCATTTATTTGGAATCAAGATTTCCCAACTTCCCTAGGTGTGTCGACCGACTAGGTTAAAGCGCCGGACGTCCGCCTTTCGTTCTCTCAATTCCATAAACTACACCCCCGCCACTAGAAGGCAATGTATAGGAATTCCCTGGCAGTGGCTGTATATGTGTGGCCATGTGAGGGCATTTTGAGAGGGAGAAGTGACTCTTCCCACCCTCGCCCGTATCAGGGCATACACTTATATTTAATATTCTGTATCTTAAGTCTGTCTTTCAGTTTTTTTCAGGTGCTAACAGTTTGTCCAAGGCACACAACCATTAGTAAAATAATGTATACTTGATTAACCTCTACTTTGAAGGTCTGCGAGTAATCGGTCTGCGCATGTATTTATTTGTTTCTGGATTTAAAGAATGTGAAACCTAACATGTATACATTTTTCTTCTTATTACTTAACGTACATTACAGCATACGTTTTAACAACTTATGATGAAAATTTACTCCATTGTCCCAGTGCTGAGAATTCATCTATATCTTAGTCAAAAAACAGTAGATATATTTTATATAGTTAGAAGCTGTGATATGTCGCGTCAACACAGTTCTCCATGACTTAAAAAACAGTAGTAGTAACATACTTGCTAAATTTGTTACGGAAACAATTTACAGATAAAAAGTATCGCGTGTCGGTTCGTAAGGGCCAGTAGTTGTGAGTATTTTTATCAAATCTCAGTCATAGAATAATGATTTTTTTCATTGTGACCGGTGAACATCAAAGCGAAATCTGAAGAATTCTACTTTGTTTATGTTCAGTTGATTAGATTTTTAATGCATTTCTCTTACTTGGTAGCTTCCTCCGAAGAAAGCTACAGTAAAGCAACAAGCTGAAGAGTTGCGGTTGCAAGAGATACGTAAAGTTCGTGTTTCCCTCTCTGAATATCGTCGACGTCGTGGTCTGCCAGCCCTCACACCCGCTACGGAACGAAATCATAAGCAGACGAAAGAGCCGCTAGATCAATCAAACGGTAATATTGATAATTTAGAAATTATAATCCCACCAACTCTGATTAGTCCTGACCGACTTATAATAACGCTCCCAAATCTTCACAATGAGTCAAGGCCATCCTCTGACGTAAGAAGTTCTGATGGATTACTGCAAAAAATTACAACATTAAACATGAAACCTGAGGTTCTTCATGATTACAATCAACCCCTATCACCTTACACAAATACACCAAAAAGATGTGAATTCGATAGCGAACGTGATTTTATTGATGCAAAAGTAAGTGAACGTGGACCTCGAACACCAAGCGAGCCACCAGATGATGACGATGATGAAGATATCGGGGTCGATTCTATAAATCCCGTTAGTAGAGGTGCTCTTAGTAGTTCTCCTGAACCGTTCATAAGATTTCCTGGTAAAGTGCTTTCTTCTCACAGCTCACCAACATCTACATTCTCGGACTCTCGTATAGCCTCAGAAAAGCTACCTTTCAGGAACAGTTCACCTCCAGATGTGAATTCTAGCAAATTTCCTGATTCGTGCTTCCAGGCTAACATGTTTGCTTCTTCAAGCCAATTAATCGTGAAAATCTTTTACATGACATCGATCATGCTAAGGAGTACGATCAAGTGAGTTGACTGTTTTTGAGTTTATTTGGTTCCTGTTTTCAAGTAAAAGTAGGTTATGCAGCATGAAGACAAAGAACTGTGATGTATTAATGCAATACGTTTTGAACAGTTTGAATACCTATTAACCTGTTAAGGTATATACGATTTAGAAACACAGATCAACTAGATAAACTTCATATTGTTATTACTTTATCTAGTTTTATTAAAACGACCAAGTATTTAGCATTAATTTATATTGATGGAGTAACTCAATTGACAATTAAGTGACTATGAGGTCTTGTTAGTTAGTACACAGAAGGATGAATCTTATCTTTTATTTTTACTATGAAATAATTTTAAAAATTTTATTTATTTATTTATTTGAACACATATATTGGTACAGGAGTGCGCCAAATGTATATGCGCCACATAAAACAATGAGAATTTAAGAAGAAAAAAGAGGATCGTAAAAAAATATTTAAAAAAAACAATGAAGAGATTGGTTTAAGGGAATCCTGCCAGTCTTGTAGAAGTACTTTGCACTTCGAAGGTGCAAAGCACATACCATACCTACGGACACTGATTGCCAACTGATTAAGTGCGGATTGCATGCCTTGGGCATTATCGCACAGTAAGACAATATCGTCCGCATACTCAAGGTCGAGAAGTCTTTCTCCAGGCAACAGATCCACACCACCATTACTTACATTCATCAGAGCTGTTTCCAGAATGTCATCGATGGCAAAGTTGAAGAGGAATGGTGAGATTGGGCAACCCTGCCTAACCCCACTGCTCGAATGGAACAATGGAGAGAGGTGGTTGTATGCCCTCACTCTGCCTGAGGTGTTTGTATATAGGGCTTTTAGGATGTTAATAAACTTCTCAGGCACACCCTTCTTCAATAGACAATCCCAGAGAACAGTCCTGTCCAACGAATCGAAGGCAGCCCTGATGTCAAGAAACACTACGATTGTTGGCCTTTGAAAGTATGGCGGTGTTCTAACATTTGGCGGAGGGTGAAGATATGATCAATACATCCTCGACCAGAACGAAACCCAGCCTGCTCCTCGCGAGTCAATCTTTCTCGGGTTTTGAACAACCTACGAAGTATGACGGAAGCCAATAGCTTGGACGCAATCGGAAGTAGACTTATCCCCCGATAGTTGTTACAGGAACGACGTGAACCCTTTTTAAAGATAGGGACAACTATCGACTCATTCCATGACGTTGGTACACACTCTAGTTCCCAAACCTTTGTAAACAACGTCGTCAATTCCTTAGTCAAAAAGTCACCACCATCTTTAAAAAGAGCCGGAGGTAAGTCATCTGGGCCAGGTGATTTGTAACGCTTCAAGAGTTGGAGTTCCTTGCGGACTTCCTCCTCATTTGGTGGATCAGTCGTCACCGGCCATGGAGGGCAGGACAGTCTGACCGATGTTGCCGGAGCAGCAGGCCAGTTGAACTGCCCTTCGAAAAATTCTGCCCATCGTCCAAGACGTCGATGGATGTTAGTGATTGGCATCCCATCATCCTCGCAGATTGTTTCACTCACACCAGACTTCTTGCTGCCAGTGGCTCGGATGAGTTACTAGAGCTTCCGGTAGTTACCAGATGCAGCTGCTGCTTCCAGCTCATTAGCACGCTTCGACCACCAGGCTTCTCGGTCCTTACGTAACATCCTTCGTTTATGGTCAAACTCACGGTCACCCGGAGTAGACCGACGGGCTTCAATGAGTTGTAAGGAACCAGAAGAAACCCAGTGCTTATAAGCGGGACGTTTCGCAAACCCACAACTGACTGTTCCCGCCATTTTCATGGCGTCATGCAATTGCAACCAATGCTCATCTATACTTTTCGGTGGAGTGGTAGCTAGCCTAGAGGCTAGCTCGGTTCGATACTTACTTGCAACAGAAGTTGCAACCAGCTTGCTAACATCAATCCGTTGGTGGCGGTCACTTCGTTGGCCACTGAAAAGTAAGGCAAGATTGGCGCAGACCAAGGCATGGTCAGAGTCCAGATAGGTACTCCAAAAGGAGCGGCAGTCTTTTACACAACCACGCCAGCGGTAGCTGATCGCGATGTGATCAATCTGAGTCCAGGCTTGAGATGCAGAGGGAGGACGCCAGGTGGCACATCGGCGATGACTGTGCCGAAAGTTAGTGCTAGCCAGAAACAGGTTGTGGTCTGTGCACAGTTGCAGTAGACGGTCCCCGTTATCTGACCTGCGACCAACGAGTCCCCATCGGCCACCTAAACGACTCTCTTCTGTGCCTAGACGCCCGACCTGAGCATTCAAGTCTCCGGCTAGTACTACAATATCTGTCGAACGCACTTTCTGGAGAAGAACAAATAACTGGTGGTAAAACTCATCCTTGATTGCATCCGGGCTGCAATCTGTCGGGGCATAGGCGGAGATGACGAAAAGACATCGTTTCTCACGCCGATTTCTTCTCACTTTGATGGAACTTTCTAATCTAACAGCACATAACCGACTGTTAATGGGGATCCAATCGACTAGTGCTGCCTCAGCTCTAGCGCTTAGTGCGACACCAACGCCAGCAAGACCAGACGAAGATGCCACAGGGTCCCCGGATAAGCGCACGTAAAACAAGCTTTTTGAAGTGACAGATGGAGAGCGAATTTGTAGTACTTCACCAGTCTTGAATACGGGTCTCGGATAGACAGCAGACATCGATATTAAGACTTTCCAAAGACATAGCCAGCCCTATCTGTTGTCCAACCTGCATAAGTGTGCGAACGTTGAAGGCAGCCAGTTTGAATGGTGCACGTGGTTTCAGAAAAACTGCTTCAGTCCTTGTATTAGGTGGTAACATACAATTTTCAACCGGACAGTGACTCGAGAACGTTTAGATACAGTCGAATTTCCACCATAAACGAGCTGCTGTATAAGTCGAAAGAAATAAGTATAGACAGAGTAGGAATAAATGAGGGTGAATAATGATGTAGTAAATAATAATAATAATAATAATATTTGAATCATTTGAATGTTCGTCGAAGCAAGAGAATTAGTTTCCATGATCATAGACAGTTCAGTTCATTAATTGTGCGTGGGCTGTGATACTCCTCGGGTGCTCAAACCGAAGCAGGTGGTTATCTTAGGGGGCCACGCGATATTTAACTGATTTAGAGACTTTTTACATATAAAATTCATTAATTACTTTAATTTTGTTATTGTAGTGATTATGTGTTCCTTTAGTTGTTTTGACATTAATTTAGGATTTTCAGCGTATTGAACCCTAGTTTTCTTCGTTGAATCTTTTAAAATTTATGGTATGCTTTTGTATTTGTAGGGTCGTATTGTGTCCGAAGTTGTAGATCACAAGCCTCCAGTTAATATACCAGTTTCTACTAAACAAGCACATTTTGATAGACTGGCTCATTACTATAAGAAGACATTTAACTTAGATGATTCTCAACATCTGTATGGTTTGGTGATTTCCACAGGGACTCCACCGCCCCCACCTCCTCCTCCTATTCCTTCATTCTCCGGACATCCAGCGTCTTCAAACAGTCCGGTTGCTCCGTCGTATGATATCGAGAAGAATCCAGAAGATAATTCAACTCATCTTTCTGGGTCATTGGAATACTTCATACAACGCGATAACGAGATACGTGTGTGGCAAGAAACGCGATCTTATGAACGAGAAAAACGTAACACTTCTCCATGGCATCACCGGGTTTCCAGTCAGTCTTACTTAAATTCAAAGAAGTTTTGCACAATCTCTAAACATCCCTCAAAGTATTATAAAAATAATGAAGGCTTTTTCTTTTATCCTGATGTCGTTACTGGTCATTTCGACAATGTCGAACAAACCCTACTGCGCATCAGAGATAGTTTGCAAGCTCAATTAGATCTAACTAAATTGGGTTGTGCTTCACAAAAAATGAACTCAAACAACGATCGCTCATCAACAAACAATAACGGGGCTGTATGTTGATCTTAATATGAAGCAGATTATCTAACTATTTGATACTACAATGTATACATAAACACGGATCACTTACAATCTTTTCTGACATTAAATCCAATCATTTTCAGTTTATGGTGACTTTTTTTGTGACCTGGGTTTTCATATTATCTTATTCTCGTTCAATAATCTCAGAGTTCTCTATCCCCAGACCCAGTTTATCTAAGCATTTTTGTACAGATTCTTATTTTGATACACTAAGTTTATCTAAACCAATGTCATATTTTTCATCTTAAGTAACATTTTAAATTCTGTAAATAACCTACGGACAAACTATGTTATAGTTATCAAGCCTTCCACAGAGAATTCACTTAAATTGTTATTGATTCGTGTATGTATCTTGCTTGTGTATCTTCTATTCTTTTATCAACATACCTCATTATCTTGGTGCTCCAGTAGATTGCCGGTTTTCAAATGTACCATAATATCCGGTAATCATTTTTTATTGGACAACAGTCCAGTTAACACTTTTTAGCTGTACAACGAATTATTTCCTAATTATATATCAAAGTATATTCATATAAATGCCAATCATGTATTGGCGTGAACTGCTGTTCAACATTTTAATAAATCAGTCATCTCATATTCATTACTATATTTAATTTCTTTAACCCTTTGCATTTCATATTGATATTGATATTCCAAAACTATTGATCCCGGTCGTTTTGTCATCACTTTCAAGTTACATGTAAAATTACTGCAGGCAGTTTCAGTATGCCTAAACGACTTTGTTTCAATTTGAAATCTTGTAAATCTTTAACTTTTTCATATGAATATTTTAATCATTTTACTTTGATTTGCGTTCGTTTAAATGAACATTTATCTTGTGTATGTTGTATAAATGAGGTATTTTTTGTTTATTGTGCAAGTAATGAATGTTGTACATCTGTTTGATCGTATTTCCTGCCTTCGCCCGTAATTTGGTTCGTCATTGTTTCTTTTGATTTCATATGTCAAGGCAGCGGCTTCTTGTTCTTATTTCCTCTCATTTGTTCATGCTGATATATTTCTTCACATATATAGGAACTGCTTGATCTAATAAAATGCCGATAATATACATGTATGTGATTTGAATTCTTGCCAAACTAAGTTTGTGATGGGAATTGTAAGTGCTACTTAGTCAGTTTCGTTTTGCGTACCAAGTTTTTGTCGGCAATTTTTAAACAGCTAAAATTAAAAACGTCTTTAGAATCACTTATCGGGAATAATGCATATATTTTGAAATTATTTTATATTACACTGGAAATTGTAATTTGATTGTCATTAAAGGAACAACTATCAGTGATTGAGAATTGCTGTATACGCATTTTCTTCGATTTTGTAGTCTTATAAAGCTTAGAATATTTTTTTCAGGCGACAATCATTATTGTATTTGGAATGCTTTGAACTCCAAGAAATTATGAAATTACTGTTTGTAAGTTACCACCGCATGTTATTAAAATCAGTCAGTTTCGTAGTTATCTACGCGAAATAAACAATAGGTTATGTGGAGTTTACCGAAAGATCTCACTTATCATTCTTTTAAATTTAGATTTTATTCTTATTTCGCTAGTCAGAATTGAACATTCAGTTTAATTCACTATTAATGGATTTGTTCATGTTAGTAATTGAGACGCTCCTTGAATGCCCAACTAATAGTTACTCTCTATTAGAGCTTAGGAAAACCAGAAAAATTATTTGTCTTAGTACTCGTATACTGTTCTTCATGAAAAATCCTTTTTATGCCTAGTTTAAAAGGAATATTATAGGTGTTAATGTGTACTGAACAAATTTGATTCTGTCTTATTCCATAAAGCATGTTTAGTAGCACAACTACAAAGGTACGACATAGATGTTAGCCATACTCGGACTATTGTGTTCTTATTTTTATGTAATATTTATATATCCCTATAGATTGGTGAAAAGTATGATCTTTGTCTTATTGGAATCTTACCATATTCGAATCCCCCATCTTCCTAACGTTTAAAATTGACGAAATTTGATTTTATTATTTTATATTATAGTGAACAATACTTCAGTGAAAAGCTTTATTGTTACACTGTAATCGAAATTATATACTTTTGGTTATCAGTTATAATGAAATTTAAAGAAAAATGTCACTGATATTGTTTGTTATGCACTCGACTGCTGTATATGTTGATTATACACTAGAATATATATGTTGGATTACGTGTGAATATAATTTCGCTTGATATCCTCTTTGGAATTCTTTGCCTCCCATAAACTCTTCCCCTGCGGAAATTAGTTGTTTCTTTATGTCAGGATTTTCTTCTAGATAAGTTAGACATTCTCCCAGCTCCTGAATACATAAAACAGACCCTTTATTTTGTGTAAATGAATACAAATTCTATTGAATTTAACAACCAAAATCCAGTAAGTATTTCTAAAGTGAAGCTTCGTAAAATGGATATAATCATGTATACTTTTTAAACATTTTACGATATACGAGGCTAATAATTAATCAAAACGACCTCATCCATATTGAGTTAGGTATTTCTGTACAAGTTGACTAGCTTCATCCTACTGTTAAAATTTCTGACCAAATGTTTACATTGGGTTAATTTCTGGAGTGGAACACAACCAACCGTTTTTCCTGTCGTAATTAGATAAGCGATATGGAATAGCTGGAAGTAATTCAAATGGTTGTTGGAAGTTTTAGCGGTTTTAAAAAAGCAGATACGCTTACCGATTTACAAATTCAGAGTTAGAAGATAAAACTTATAACTAATTTACTTGTGGCAGGATTTTAAAGTATGGTTTCCATGAGAAGTTATAAATTTTATGTTGTTTGTTTACTATTAGTAGTACACGATATTTTTGACCATTAATTAATGAAATGAAGTAACTCTAACTAAACACCTGTTGAAAACTAACGATTACTCTCTAAATTTACTGAAATATATATGTATGTTTCAAAGTCTTGGTCCAAATGGAGTTCATTCCGTGTCACATGCGTCATTGATGGGTTGCTGAATATTTCCGTTACTTGGATGAAAATTCTAGTTATTCATGTGATTTCGTTTTTAATAGAATATCAAGCTATTGGTCTAGAAATATCGATCTGTGATAAAGAAACTATTTGTACGGTTCAGCTTGGAAAGAAAGATCATTCACAAGTATTGGATGTCACACAATGTACTACAAATAGTCGTATTTGTAATGTTTCGAAAGACTATGTTAGATTTATGAGATCAGTTATCAGCGGGTAAAGTATCTAGTTGTTTATTTGACAGATTCGGGAAAGTGTATGATGGTCCAGTGTTGTCCTGGAGCCAGTGATGAGAATAAGTTTAAGAATCGGTAACATCAGCACTTCGTAGATGTACATGTCTCATAAAATAAGTGCGATGAATCATCAACCATCGATGATTATGCTGTCACCGTTTCCATAATAAGATGAAGAACACTGATTAATCCCACATAGTCTGAAACTTATAGAAGTGTTTGGGATTATTTTACCGCTTTTGTGTACAGTGACAAGAATTTTCTTGATACATATTAATTAGTATATAGAGTCGTTGCGGTATTCGAAATATTTTAAAACGATAAGAATCATACATAAGTTTGTCATTTTAAATTAACGAGAAGGAAGATCATTGCTATTAATCTAATAAAAACTACCTATTGCAGGGAAAGTCTTAAATCCTTTCCATGGCAGATAGCTTCTGGAATTCCTACATTTAAATATTGAAGTTAGTTTTTTAAATCATCTATAATTACTTGGTATGTCATGTAATTCGTTGCTATGTTGATTCTGGCTGAGATACTAGATTTATACATCACTTGGCGTCACTGTTAGGATAAAATCTGGAGCACTTATTCTCCAAAAGAGGGAACAATTACATTAATAAGTAAACATATCGACTCACAATGTTGGCTACAGAAAGAATAAGTTGAGAGAAAACTACTCACGTCCAAACCAAGACGTGATATCTGTTCATGAAGTCACCGTTTGCTGAACTGGGTCGCATTAGGAGGTGCAGACCGCCAGGTTGGGGTCATAGCGATTATCTTAACCGGTGGTTGAAGAGGTTGGGTGATATGGCTCAGAATCCGTTCGTGAAGAGAACAATTTTTTATTTCATTCTCTAAATATTCACTTACACCTGTTACAGTTCATAGACGAGCGTAGGCCACTCACTCATGTCTAACTCCAACTCCCAACGCAGTGTGCTCCTTGCTCTTCCTCCTTCCCGTTTACCTTCAACATTCCAAGTTAATGTTTGCCTCGTGATGCAGTTTAACGATCTCCTCAACGTGTGTCCTGTCCACCTCCAACATCTTTTCCTAATCTCCTTTCCAGCTGGAAGCTGGTTTGTTCTCTCCCACAATAGATCGTTGATGATGGAATCCGGCCAACGAACATTGAGCATCTTCAGTAGACAAGTATTTATAAATACTTGTACATTCTTGACGATAGTTGTAGTATTTGTCCAAGTTTCAGCTCCGTACAGTAGGACTGTGTTGACGTTCGTATTGAAAATTCTGACTTTGATATTGGTTGACAGTTGTTTTGAGTCCCATTTGTTCTTCGACTGTAGGAGTCCTGTTGTTGTGTTTGCCAATCCTTGCCTTTACGTGTGATCGGATCCTCCTTGTTCATCGACGATACTGTCCAGGTAGGTGGAAGTTTCCATCTGTTCTCGAGTTTCTCCATCAAGTGTGATTGGTTTTGTTGGTGTTCTGTGTGTTGTATTTGAGTATCTTGGTTTTTCACTTGTGTATGTTGAGTCCTGTTGATACAGAGACAGCTGCTACACTGGTTGTCTTCACCTGCATTTGTTGGTGTGTGTGGGATAGAGTATGTAGGTCATTTGCGAAGTCCAAATCGTCTAGTTGCATCTGTATGTCTTCAGCTTTAGCATTACTTGGCATTTGGAATTCATCCTTTCCTTTCAGTCTTCCTTAATATTTAGTCTTTCTCACAATCAATCATACTACTATGGCATCACAACGATTTGTAATTTAGT